AATTTTTATGGCCACAACAATAAACAAATGCAATAAAAGCAGCGTAATTTCCGTTCATGCACTGTATTAATGATAATTTTGTCCTTTTTGGCAAATAATATTACACCGTATTTTCGACACGATTGAAGTGGATCTATTTACTTTGATGTGATATTAAAATTAATTTTGTTGTTGTGTAGGACTGTAGGGTACGTGCGGCGATTCCAAGACATTTGCTTGAGAAAGAAGAACAAGCTGCCACTTCCGAATCCTGAGGTTCTGAGTGTCCATTCATCGGAGCTGATGGCGTAATCCGAAAGGATGGGAGGATCGGTGCTGCTCCCTGGCTGATCTTCGAAGCAAAGTATCCTGCGATTTCAATCAAAACCCATTGCGTGACCGCATTGATCATCGACAGCTTTCATCGAAAATTCGGTCATGCAAACAAAGAGACGATCGTAAACGAGATCAGGCAACAGTTTCATGTGTCCGAGCTCAGAGCTGCGGTAGGAAAGGTGATAAAAGATAGAGTCGGTGTATAATGAGTCACGCCATGAGGAAAACAGTGAAACTAGCAACCCGGTTACAAAATGATAATAACATATTTATTTCTGGCAACCTGTGTTCTTGTGTTTACTTTGAATGGCTTCTTCATGAGCAGCTTATCGGAAAGATTAACTGTTGAACGTAGAGTGAAAAATAAATATATTGCTTCTTGGAATCCAGAAAGTAGAAGATTTTTTCATGTGCTTCCGGTTACAGTCGTGTGTGAAGTGTGGAAAATGAAGTGCTTCGCCGTATTTTGCAATAATCGACAAGCAAAAAATCGTCAAATATAAAACCTGAGCTTCTTCCGGTTTCCTAGCGACCCGCAGCAAAAAGCTGAGTGGATATCATTTTGCCGCCTGCCTCCTGATTTTCCAATCACAGAAAATTGTCGAATTTGTCAGTGTAAGTAATGATTTATATAATCGTTTGGAGGCGAACCAGCCTAAGGCTGAAAGCCTCCTAAATAAAGCTAAATAATAATAATAATGATTTATATAATAAAATCGCGTTGATATTCTTCAACACTCAGCTTATCATTTTTTTTAGTTGCATTTCAATTATGAAACCGACCTATACACAAATTCTGATGGAGGTAGATTACTAACTTTGCCAGGATTCGTTCCAAAGTTTATAAACGTTCCAGATTTAAGTTCTTCTTTGTGTGACGGTGGAGATATCACTGTACGTATAAGTTATTTCCTCAGATGCATCTTGTTTAGTTGTAACTATTTTTTAGGATTGTAATGGCAATCTAACGGAAGTATGTGGTTCATCTAGAACAGTCGACAGAAGAAAAAAACAATTTGTGCTCTCCTGCAGTTCACAGGAAACTATCGGATCAACGTTAACTGCGTCTAATGGAAACACAGAGTCATCAACCCGAGATGAATAGCTATCCAGATCTTCGAAATCTATGTAAATAACAAAATTTGCTATGAGACAGTCATAGATATTAAGTAAAACACTTGAATATTTTCTAATTTCTTAGTCTCATCCAAACTATTCGTAGTCTACGTCAGCAGAAACACTGTTACATCAAAACTATAAAACAGCTTCGACAAAAACTCAGGCCGACAAACTCAAAGCCTGCTGGGGCAGAATCAAAACTGTTTAACCCAGAACAGGTCAGGCTTTTACGAGGTGATCTGAAACGAGTTCAGCGATGGTCTGATGAGGCAATTATAGACAGTTTTGAAACACGATTTGCTTGCGGGGAAAAAGGGTACAATTTTCTTCGAAACAAGAAACACTACCCTATTCCATCGATTCGTACGCAGCAGAGATACTTGCAGGCAGGCATGGAAAATCATTTGCATTCATTTCATACATTCATTTATATTCATTTGCGTTTAACTTTTTCCATCAACAGCATTCCGCAAAATGATGTTTAGAGCTTTTGTAGGTTTTGTTATTAGCTACAACTTTTACTCATAACTCAAATCTGTATCTCTTATACATCACGAACTAGAGCGGGCAGGACTTGTTACTGTTTTTCAGTGAATGTAAAATGTAAAATCAGTAGTGGCTTCTGTTCGCTCTGGTTCGTCATGCGTAAGAGATGCGAATTTGACTTGCTAACAAAAGTTGTAGTTAATAACAAAACCTACAAAAGTTCTATACAACATTTTGCGAAATGCTGTTAAAAAAAGTTAGAGGCAAATGAATGTAAATGAATGCACGAAATGAAAAATGATTGGCGAAAACAGAGTCGATGGTGAACACTCGTCCTCTTACCTACCTTCCGCTGGATTCGAAGGAAAGTAAAGCAAGCACAACGAGTATGTCAACCAGCCGTCGCTCCGTTGGATATTACATCGGCTATACGTTCGAATTGGAACCACGTTCAAGTCATGCTTGACCGCTTTTGGAATCAGTGGATAAGAGAAAATATTCCAGTCATCTCACGACAGTCAAGTGGTTCCAGGAAGTAAAACCGATCCAAGTTGGAGACTTGGTCGTGGCCGTGAATGAGGCAAAGAAGAATAGCTGGGAACGACGAGTCGTTGAGAAGGTGTATCCGGGGAAGGATGGACGCATACGAAGCACAAATGTGAGGACTGCGACGGGTGTACTTCAGCGGCCGTTGACCAAGCTGGCGGAATTGCACACTTAGAAATTACTATTTTTACACGAGACGTAATTCAGCTTTGACGTAAATCATGGAACGTAAACAAACATGGCATGTAAAATTAAGTGTCCTGAAACTGAAACATATGCAACTCGCCGAAAAGTGCGTTTGATTGAATTGGTTTTCTCGTCCTTTTCAACTGATTCTTATGTGAAAAGGGCCGCTTGCAGGTGTCGGACTCAGGGCACTGAAATTTACATGTCTTTTTCGTAGTGTGTGGACGTGCTGGAGCAGGTTGATATGGCTGAAGGAACTTCAAGCAATACGGGGTGGAGTGTGTGCGCAACGGTACCAGACCTCCCGTCAACAGCAAACGCTATTAACGTCACCGGACAACGTCAAGTGAGAAGTCGTCAGCTTCAGTTGTCAGTTATAAATTTCGTTTATCATTGTTATATCATTATCACGATCAACACAGAGCATACAACATCTTAAAAGTTAATTATTGGTAAAAGTTGGACTATAAATTGGTTGTATGTTCTGTGACCTGATGGATGGTAGATTACAAGATAGGATAGAATTACCATGACCTGATGGATAGTAAATAAGAATTGCCATGATGATTGATGAAATTTTGTAAAATGATTGCCATGACCTGATGGCTGGTAGAGTATGCAAACAAAATCGTTAGAATTACCTGATGGATGGTAAATAATAATTGCCATGATCTAATGGATGGTAGATAAGGATTTCCATTTCCTGATGGATGGATTATAGAATGTTTGAAATAGTTAGAATTGCCATGACCTGATGGATGGACTGAAGAGATTTTGAAATAGTTAGAATTACCATGACCTGATCAATGGACTGAAGAAATTTTAAAATAGTAAGAATTACCATGACCTGATGGATGGATGGACTGAAGAAATTTTGAAATAGTTAGAATTACCATGACCTGATCAATGGACTGAAGAAATTTTGAAAAAGTTAGAATTGCCATGACCTGATGGATAGACTGAAGAAATTTTGAAATAGTTAGAATTACCATGACCTGATGGATGGACTGAAGAAATTTTGAAATAGTTAGAATTGCCATGACCTGATGGAGGGACTGGAGAAATTTTGAAATAGTTAGAATTGCCATTACCTGATGGATGGATGGACTGAAGAAATTTTGAAATAGCTAGAATTGCCATGACCTGATGGATGGACAGAAGAAATTTTGAAATAGCTAGAATTGCCATGACCTGATGGATGGACAGAAGAAATTTTGAAATAGTTAGAATTACCATGACCTGATCAATGGACTGAAGAAATTTTGAAATAGTTAGAATTATAATGACCTGATGGATGGACTGAAGAAATTTTGAAATAGTTAGAATTGCCATGACCTGATGGATGGATGGACTGAAGAAATTTTGAAATAGTTAGAATTACCAGAATAGTTAGAATGGACTGAAGAAATTTTGAAATAGTTAGAATTACCATGACCTGATGGATGAAATTCTCTTCCTCAATTAAGGAGAGTAGGAGAATGGAAGAATGTAGTAGATAGAGTTAGTGTGGAATAAAGAATGAGTAGAATCGAGTGAGCGTGGAGCGTGATAGCGAATTCGTTTATTATCGGGGTTGGAACCAGTGCGAAACCGAACTTTTTGTCAGTGCGAACCTCAACCTGAGCTGGGTTTTAAAAACAAACGATCAAACTGACGTTTGTCAGAAAACAAGCAGACCAAATCTTGATACCCGATCCAGGTTGGAACTGAATAATAAACGAATTCGCTATAAATATAATTGGTTCAAGAATTTTCATAAACTAGGAGGTACAAATATGAGGCACCTAAGCTCGTTGACGGCATTCTTGTAACAAATTCTGGAGGATTTTTTTTTTTTTTTTTTTTTTTCTTTATTTTTTAGCCTGAGGCTAGTTCATCTCTTGATTTTGGAGGAGACAGACGTTGAGAAGGAACAATAACAGCAGGATTGGAAGCAACCGCAGCCATGGGAGCTGCACCAGTTGCCCCAATTAGCGAATACGATTCGCTAGTTGAGGCACAGTCATGGCCCAACTAACGATTTCAGACTGTACTGTGAAATTTTACCGAAATCTCATGGTTGACACATTTTCAATGCCATTTGTATTCTTATTAAAAAAAATGGACGCACAATTGAAATTCCCTCACGGAGTTTACCAGATAAAAGCAAATCGACTGGGTAAACACAAATCCCTCCAAGTTATTTCCGAGCCAAGGTTGTCCAATCATTCGCATCCAATCAATAATATTGGGCAAACTCGACACATCCCACTTCAATCGCGTCGATTAGCAGCACTGAAGCAGAACGCAGCTTCCGAATATTTACGATTCAATTTAGCACCTCCGTTCGATTCGTTGCCGGTACTTACCGTTATGTTTTCTGTTAGGCCTCGGTGCGATCCTTCATGCTCGAGGAATTAGCTGATGCTGCTGCTGCTGCTGACTCCTCCTCGTCGCTCGGTTCGGTGCCAAAGAAGAAGATTGATTTCCATTTTCACTTTCTCGCCGCCTGATGGCTCTCGTTAATCATTCGCCATTCGCCCGTTCCTTTCCCCCATCATCTTGGCAGTCGAAGAGAAGAGCACATTTTCCGTCCTGACTTCGTCATCCCTCGCAACGGTTGACCATCAAGGTGGTGAGGGTGGGCACTTCTTGAATAATCCTTTGACAATGTTCGGCTGAGTTTGACACTCGATAATCGATTTTTAAGTCTTCGACACAGTTTCCTTTGATTTGCATTTGCTACTACTGTTCCTACCCTTTCTTTATCTTGCCGTTCGGGGAGTAATTCGCCTTTGATCGAGTTCGATAGAGCCCTGCGGTGTGCCCGCTTCAAACGAATCGCTTTTTGGCCGTTGTTGTGCGCTACAATACAACCACGCTTAATATAACGGGGGTGGGGGGACGAGGTGGGGGAGGAAGGATTCGATGGATATATGGGTGGGGTCAACGGATCGGGAAGGTTTTCAAAGAGATCACAACAATGCTTTCAAATTCAAATGCGTTTTGATTCATCTTGATTGGTTTAGCTAATTTTTACCGACGCTGAGAAAACAAATATTTGGATCGTGTGGGGGTCAAACACAGCGCCAATCTTGTTCACACCTTTCGGACAAGATTTTTTTTTAAATGAAAGGTGGGAACTTTCAGCCGGTTTTGACGCAGCTCACGTTTCGTTTTTTTTTCGCCACCGCGACTTCGAAAACTACGATCCTAACCTTCCTTTATACCCACACTAGTAGTAATAGTACGCATGCTACAATACAATAGTGTTTTTTTTTTGGTCAACATGTCGTGAGAATCGAGCTTCTGCTAGAATTTTCTTTTGTTTGTTTGGTTTTTGGTTCGTTCATATCCCTACAGTACGCCGCGAAAACCGAATTAGCTACTCTATAGTATAATGATGCAAGTGAGTGCGTGTGATTGATTGTGTGTGTGTGTGTCTGTGTATGTGTGTATGTACGACGATGCTATGATTTGATTTGGTGTGAATGTGTGTGTTTTTAAGTTAAGAAAAAAGAACCGACGACGAGAGAACATTTCCTACACTTACAATACGTTTCCTACTCGGTTCCGCTGTCTCTTTCTAGCGATTCTTTATCTTCGTGGTTTTTTTTTGGTGATAATAATATATTACAATTATGCGCGTAAATAGTGTTGTTTGTTTCAATATTATCCTTCAGTTTAAGTATTTATAAACGTTTTCTATCTAATATGGCGACGATGTCAGTAAGTAGTAATAGTAGTAGTTGTAGTTTAAGATGCGATGTTTTCTTCTTTTCGTCTTTTGCTTGCACGTGTGTGTGTGTTTGTGTGTCGCTCAGATGTGTGTTTGTTTGTGTGAAGGTATGTCTCTGTGGGTCGTAGTATGGCTGTTATATGTTGTATGTTCATGGCTGCTGTGCCCCTGGTGGTGCTGGTGAATTTTTAGGCTGACATTTCTCCTGACACCTATCTCACTCTCTCTCTCGCTCGTTCACACAGCAGCAAACGCTTTCATTGTTTCTTTTCTCTAGACTTTTCCTGTTTTCTGTAGCACACCACTAACGATTAGTTATGCGTTTTTTTTTCAATAGATTTCTATGGTTTCTGCTTTTTGTCTCTCTTTTATTCTGTTTCTGTTTTACTCCTAGTAGTTGTTTTTGTTTCACTTAAGACTGGATTTTATCCTTACTAGTTTTTGTTTTTAATGTTCTAGAGAGCATTTCTGTGTTATGTTAGCATTAGTGTTTTTTAAGTACCCATGTTCTTGAAGTTGTCTCGTCACTTGATTGGTTTGCTTTGCTTTCTTGCTTCTGTTTTGCTTTGAATACTTGGTTGTTTAAACATGAATTATAGAGAGAACTTTAAGAAATATTTTCTTTGTTTGGGAAAAAAAACGGGAGAGATACGAAAACTGTCACTGTGTGAAACTTGGTTTGTTTGTTTGCTTGTTTATATTTAGGTAAGTTTCGTAAAAAAATTGCAACTTGCTTTCATTCACTTTGTTATATTTCTTTGCTTTTTTTCTAAGAGATCGATTTTTGCTTTCCGACAAAAACGGTTTTTCCGGTTTTAAGGTTTGTTTAAAATTGTTTCAATACATTTTTTTTCTAGGAAAATATGCTTGCTTTGCTCGACTGGGAGAGCGACTTGTTTTAAAACGCCGGTTCTCTTTCTGAGTGGGCTACTTTCCGCGTTTCTTTGGGGTCTGGAACCGAAGAACCACGATACTGGGAAGAGGGTGGGGGCGCATTTCAGATGGCAGTTGGTTTAAACGGAATATTTTTTTGGCAACACTGTTTTATGGATTCTGGGGACTCTGGGTGGGACTCTGCAAGTCTGTAAACATCCAGTACGTTCTAAACGTACTTTCCATACAAAACATGTTGTTGTGTGGAAAATACGTTTCGAACGTAGGATTGCACTAAGTCCTTCAAACATCCTAAAGATTTTTTGTATTTGATCAATTCCAGGCAAAATGGCGAAAAAAAATTGATTTCTTGAATCGACCTTCTTCGATTGCTTGTTATGGGCAATGATTCACATTTTCCGCAAAAATTCGGCCATCTTGCAAAATTTTCAAAATGGCGTTCTTGGTTTTCTTTAAAAAAATAATTGCATGGAAACGGATTTTTTGATCGAAATGACGTCTGAGACAAAGTTATAGAGAAAAATAATGTCTTTCTTGGAAAAATATACAAAAAACTGTTTTAATAAAAACATTTGTTTGACTATTTATCCCAGAAAAACATAATTTTTCTCCACAACTTTGTCTCAGCCGTTATTTCGATCAGAAGTGGCATTTCCGAGATACAATTTTTTTTTTTTTTTAATCTTCAAAGACGCCATTTTGAAAATTTTCCCCAATCCAAAATGGCCGAATTTTTGCGAAAATGTGAATCATTGCCCATAGCAAACAATTATGCAAAATTTCATACAAATCGGAGAAGGTCGAGTTCTTCCGATTCGTTATTTGGCGTGGAACTGCTCACTTCCGTAAGATTCTCGGTACTTCAATTACTTCGTTTAGATTCGTCGGAAAAGCTTCCCAAACTGTCTAAGTTCCTCAAGGAAAGCTTCGAAAACTTTTAACAAATTCAGAGATCCTCAGAGAACTTCAGGCGACCTCAGAAACGTCTGACGTGGCATGAAGTTCTCTGAGGATCTCTGAATTTGTTGAAATTTTTCGAAGCTTTTCTAGGTTCGTTGAGCTCTTCCTGTGTTTGCAATGCTCGTAGCCTGAGGTTCCGTGAAGTTTTTTGAAGCTCTCCGGTCATCTGCGCAAAATTAAATTTGTGTCCGGCTTTCTGAAGGTTTCCCAAGCATCTTTGTGCGAGCACTTACTGAGTAGGTTAAAAATCGTCAAAATATTGGTTTGTGAAGTTGGCGTCCCAAGAGTTCTCTGGACTTCCCCGAAGGTCCCTGGATTTTTGATAAGAGAGAATCTCTGAATTTCTATGAGGTTTTCGGAACTTCTATTAGCTGATTTGAGTTATCCGAATTTCAATGCACTTTTATGACGATATCCGAACTTCTTTAAAACCCTCTGAGGTTCCCCTAAACTTCGGTTGCTCGTCTCGAAAGAGTCTGTACACATTTCCCTTAACTCATCTGAGATTTCCTGGGTCTTTCCGATTATCCATCAACTACACTGAAGTTTTGTTAGCTCTTCTCAATTTCTCTGAATACCTCAGAAAGTTCTCTCAAGGACCTTGAGTATCTCCAAAGTTTTCCTGAACTTCTCCGAAGTTTATCTGAGCTTGCCTTAGATGTCTGTGAAAAGTCTTTCGTCCTGCCATTCTCTGAGGTTGTCCTGAACTTCTCCAAAGTTTTTCTGTCCTTCTCTGAGACTACTTTAGACGGCATTGAAGAGTCTGTATGAAAATTTCCTTAACTCATCTGAGCTTGCCTGGGTCTTTCTGATGATCCGTCAACTACACTGAAGTTGTGTTAGCTCATCTGAATTTCCCTGCATTTTTCAAAAAGTTCTTTGATGGACCTTGAGTTTCTCCAAGATTTTCCTGGACTTCTCCAAAGTTATCCGAAGCTTCTCTGAACTGAAAAGTCTTTCACCCTGAAATTTCCCTTAACTCATCTGAGATTTCCTAGGTCTTTCCGATTATCCGTCAACTACACTGAAGTTTAGTGAGCTCTTCTGAATTTCCCTGAAATTCCCAGAAAGTTCTTGTGTTTCTTCAAGGATTTCCTGAACTTCTCCAAAGTTTCTCTTAGCTTACCTTAGATGTCAAGAGTATTTCACCCTACCATTCTCTTAGGTTCCGCTGAACTTATCCAACGTTTTCCTGTCTTTCTCAACGGGTATTTTGGACGTCTATGAAGAGTCTGCCTGAGATTTCCCTGAATCTATTAGAGATTTCCTGGATCTTTCTAAGGATCCGTCAACTACACTGAAGTTTTGTTAGCTCCTCTGAATTTCTTTGCAATTCTCAGAAAGTTTTCTGATGGACCTGGAATTTCTCCAAGATTTTTCTGAACTTCTCCAAAGATATTTGGAGCTTCTCTGAGCTTGCCTGACATCTAGCCTGAATTTCTCTGCAATTCTCAAATAGTTCTCTGGTGGACCTTGAATTTCTCCAAGATTTTTTTGAACATCTCCAAAGTTATCCGAAGCTTCTCTGGGCTGAAGAGTCTTTCACCCTGCTATTCTCTGAGGTTCCCCTGAACTGCTTCAAAGTTTTTCCGTACTTCTCTGAGGATGAACGTCTCAGAAGAGTCTGTACGAAATTTCCCTGACCTCATCTAAGATTTTCTGGATCTTTCTGAGGATCCGTCAACTACACTGAAGTTTAGTGAGCTCCTCTGAATTTCCCTGAAATTCTCAGAAAGTTCTTGACTTTCTTCAAGGATTTCCTGAACTTCTCCAAAGTGTCTCTGAGCTTACCTTAGATGTTAAGAGTCTTTCACCCTACCATTCTCTTAGGTTCCGATAAACTTATCCAAAGTTTTCCTGTCCTTCTCTACGGTTACTTTGGACGTCTCTGAAGAGTATGTCTGAGATTTCCCTGAATCTATTAGAGATTTCCTGGATCTTTCTAAGGATCCGTCAACTACACTGAAGTTTTGTTAGCTCCTCTGCATTTCTTTGCAATTCTCAGAAAGTTACCTGAAGGACCTTGAATTTCATTAAGATTTTTCTGAACTTATCCAAAGTTATCTGGAGCTTCTCTGAGCTTGCCTGACATCTAGCCTGAATTTCTCTGTAATTCTCAAAAAGTTCTCTCATGGATCTTGAGTTTCTCCAAGATTTTTCTGGACTTCTCCAAAGTTATCCGAAGCTTCTCTGAGCTGAAGAGTCTTTCCCCTGCTATTCTCTAAGGTTCCCCTGAACTGCTTCAAAGTTTTTCCGTAATTCTCTGAGGTTGGACGTCTCATAAGAATTTGTACGAAATTTTCCTTAATTCATCCGAGATTTTCTGGATTCTTCAACTACACTGAAGTTTAGTGAGCTCCTCTGAATTTCCCTGAAATTCTCAGAAAGTTCTTAAGTTTCTTCAAGGATTTCCTGAACTTCTCCAAAGTTTCTCTGAGCTTGCCTTAGATGTGAAGAGTCTTTCACCCTACCATTCTCTTAGGTTCCGCTAAACTTATCCAAAGTTTTCCTGTCCTTCTCAACGGGTACTTTGAACGTCTCTGAAGAGTATGTCTGAGATTTCCCTGAATTTATTTGAGATTTCCTGGATCTTTCTAAGGATCCGTCAACTGAACTGAAGTTTTGTTAGCTCCTCTGAATTTCTTTGCAATTCTCAGAAAGTTCTCTGAAGGACCTGGAATTTCTCCAAGATTTTTCTGGAATTCTCCAAAGTTATCTGGAGCTTCTCTGAGCTTGCCTGACATCTAGCCTGAATTTCTCTGCAATTCTCAAAAAGTTCTCTGATGGACCTTGAATTTCTCCAAGATTACTCTGGACTTCTCCAAAGTTATCCGAAGCTTCTCTGAGGTGAAGAGTCTTTCATCCTGCTATTCTCTGAGGTTCCCTTGAACTGCTTCAAAGTTTTTCCGTACTTCTCTGAGGATGGACGTCTCAGAAGAGTCCGTACGAAATTTCCCCGACCTCATCTAAGATTTTCTGGATCTTTCTGAGGATCCGTCAACTACACTGAAGTTTTGTAAGCTCCTCTGAATTTCCCTGAAATTCTCAGAAAGTTCTTGAATTTCTTTGCAATTCTCAGAAAGTTCTCTGAAGGACCTTGAATTTCTCCAAGATTTTTCTGAACTTCTCCAACGTTATCTGGAGCTTCTCTGAGCTTGCCTGACATCTAGTCTGTGAAAAGTCTTTAGTCCTACCATTCTCTGAGGTTCCTCTGTACTTTTCCAAAAAAATCTGCCCTTTTCTTAGGCTACTTTAGACGGCTTTGAAAAGTCTGTCGGAAATTTCCTTGGGTCTTTCTGAGGATCCGTCAACTACACAGAAGTTGTGTTAGCTCCTCTTTTCCCTGCAATTTTCAAAAAGTTCTTGAGATTCTCCACGGTTTTCCTGAACTTCTCCAAAATTTCTCTGAGTTTATCTTAGATGCCCCTGAAGGGTCGGTCTTTCATACTGTCATTTTCTGAGGTTCCCCTAAACTTCTCCAAAATTCTTCTGTCCTTCTCTAAGGTTATATTGGACGTCTAAGAAGAGTCTGTCTGAAATTTCCGATGAGTTTTCTGGATCTTTCTGAGGATCCGTCAACTACAGTGAAGTTTTGTTAGCTCCTCTAAATCTCTCTCCAATATTTTCCTGAAATTCTTCAAAGTTCTCCTAAGCTTATCTGAGTTTGCCTGACATCTATCCTGTGTCGGAAGACTCTCGTCCTACCATTCTCTGAGGTTCCCCTGAACTTCTCCAAAATTCTTCTGTCCTTCTCTAAGGTTATATTGGACGTCTAAGAAGAGTATGTCTGAAATTTCCGATGAGTTGTCTGGATCTTTCTGAAGATCCGCCAACTTCACTGAAGTTTTGTTAGCTCCTCCGATTTTCTCTGCAAATCTCAGAAAGTTCTTAAGTTTCTCCAAGGTTTTCCTGAACTTCTCCAAAGTTTCTTTGCGCTTGTCTTAGATGTCTCTGAAGAATCTTTCAACCTGCCTTTCTCTGAGGTTCCCCTGAACTTCTCCAAAGTTTTTCTGTCGTTCTATAAAATTACATTGGACGTCTCTAAAGAGTCTGCCTTAGATTTCCCCGAATCTATCCGAGGTTTTCTGGATCTTTCTGAGTATCTGTCAACTACACTGAAGTTTTGTTAACTCCTCTGAAAGTTCTCTAAAGGGCCTTCTCCAAGATTTTTCTGAACTTCTCCAAAGTTCCCCGAAGCTTCTCTGTGCCTATTTTAGCTATATTCTAAAAGTCTTTCTAAGGTGCAATGAAGTTTTCTAAAGTTCAGCTCCTCCGAATTTATTTGAAAGTTCTCTGAAGGAGCTTGTCTGAGCTTGCCTTAGATTAGTTTTTCTGATGTTCCCGACGCTTTTCCGAAGTTCTCCGTAAATTGCCGGACCTTATCTGAGGCTGCCTGAAGTGTTCTTAAATTCTCTGATTTAATTTCTCTGTAATTTTTTGAAAGAGTTCTTTGAAGTACCTTCCAGCATGATTCCATTGAACTTCTAAAAAGTACCCCGGAGCTACTCTGAGCTTGCTTTGGACGTCTGTGTAATGCCTTTCGGAGATTTCTTGAACTTTTCTGAGCATCTCCGAGTTTGCCTGAATTCGTTTGAGGCCCTCGGGATTCAATTAAAGTTTCCAAAATTACTCTGAGGTTCACTGAACTTCTCTGATATCTCGAAAGCTTATCTGAGATTTTTTGAAGTTCTCTGAAATGAAACTCTAAAGTATCCTGAACTTCTTCGAGGATCTCTTAAAGAGGCTATTTTAGGTTTCCTGAAGTTCTCTAATGTTTTCAAAACTTAAAAACGAGATTTCGTTAACATCTCCGGAGGTCATCTGTGGAGTACAGTGAACTTCTTTCTGGTTCCATAAAGTAATCCCAGCATCTCTAGAATTATCAAAGATTTTTTGTGAAGTACTCGGATTTCAGAGCAGTTTTATGAAGATATCTGAGGTTCCCCTGAACTTCTTCAAAGTTTTTCTGCCCTTCTCTGAAGTTACATTGGACGTCTCTGAAAAATCTTTCGGAGATTTCCCTGAACTTCGCTGAGATCTCCTGGGTCTTTCTGAGGTTCCCTCAATTATAACGAAGTTTTGTTAATTTCTATGATTATCTATGGCGGACCTTGAATTTCTTCAAATTACTCCGGAACTTCCCCCAAAGATCCCTAAAGCTTCTTTGAGCTTGTCGTTGACGACTTTGGAGAGTATTTCTGAAGTTCCCTGAAGTTTTATAGGGTTCTGTAAACATCACTACTTCTCCGAAGTTTCCTGATTCATTGAAGCTTTGAAAACTTCCTCTCAGGTTCCCTTAAGTTCTCTGGTTTCATTTAAGGTTCTCTACAGTTTTTTGAAGTTCTATGAACTTCTATATGGTTTCATGAAGTCATCTCTGAAATAATCAAAGGTTGAAGCTTATGTGTCCAAACGACCTGATATTCGTTGGACTTTTAGGTATGAAGTTCTCGCAACATCTCTGAAGCCCTGTGAACTACTCTAAGGTTCCTTGATTTTTATTTTTTCGAGTTTCGCTGTACTTTCATGCAGTTCTCTGAACTTATTTCAAGTACTCTGAACATCTCTGATTTCGACTGAATTTCTCCAAAGATCCCTGCGAGCTTAGACGTAGCTGAAGAGCCTTTCTGAGGTTTTCTGAAATTTTCAGTGGTATGGACTTTTTGGTGGTTACCTGATTTGTTAAAGCTCTTAAACCTTCTCTGAGGTTCACTGATTTTATCTGGGGTTTACTCTGAAGTTCCCTGAAGTTTTCTTAAGTTCTATGAACATCACTACATCTCCACTTCTCTGAAGTTCCCTGAATTATTGAAGCTTTTAAAACTTCCTCTGCGCTTGCCTAAAGTCGAAGACAACAAATCAAGAAGACTGGCAACTCTTCTATTTTCTCATAACGCTATGAGACAGGTACAATCGCGTCATCTGGCGCTCAAAGGTAAATGTTTCGAACGAATTTGATAGCAAAGATTACATCCTCAGTTCTCTGATTTCATTTGAGGTTTCCTGAAATCCTAAGAATATCTTTGAATGTATCAAAGGTTTCCTGAGCTACTTTGGTATTTAACCAAATTCTTTCATATTTCCTTATCAGAGGCTCACTGAAGCTTTATAAACTTCTATGAAGCACCCTGAACTTAGGATCCGTGAAGTCAGTTGATTTTTTTTAATCCAACACGTTCTCAAAGTTAAACTTTTATGAAACTATGCGAAAGTTCTGAACTTCTTAGGGAAGTTCTGAGATTTTCATTAGGAAGTTGTAGCACAGAAGAAGCTGCGAGGCTCGGAGAAGGTTCGATGAACTCTTCAGATTTTGACCGTGCTTTAGAGCGACTATGCGCTTGGAAAAGTTCTCTGCCCACTAAAGACCTGTTTCGATCACTGACGAAATTCGCGGATCTTCATAGGAATTTAGTACACTTCTGAAAGGAAAAAATATACTAAATAGAGATTCAGCGAACTTCGAACATATTGAAGGGGTTCAGCAAACTACGCACCCTTTTCTTCAGGGAGACTCCTAAACCTCTCAAAACTTCCACCACCTTGCCACAAGTTGCTTGAAGACCTAAGGGTGTTTAGCGATCTTCTGACAACGTCGTGGAAGTTTTGAGAGGTTTTAGAAACGATGTTCCAGATACGTATCTTTTTTTCCAGCGAAATTTCTGGCCTTTCAGAGGCAACTTAAACATTGCTACGATTGGGAAAAGTTACTTATTTCCTAAGTGTCCTAAGATTAATAGCCTTCTGGGAATGCTGCTTTACTTTCGTTTGACTTCAACAAAGACTTTTTGCTGAATCTCGTAAAATCCTCACTGACCCAAGTGAAAATATCTAGAAGAAAATAAATTTTGGTCGTTTCCGAAGGATTCCTTAAATTTCTAGGCAATTTGAGTTAAAACTCTGACACCATCGTTTCACATTTTCCAGCACTCAACTGGCTTCTTTCCGAAATGCTTAAGATTGCTGGAAAACTTGCCACTCTTCAATTCTAACCTTCTTGTTTACTCCGGGGGCCACCTTCAACCCAAGATTGTTTTAAAGCAGCGGGGATTCCAACCACAAACTGCCACCAGAAACGACCCACTCCGTTTGAATCGTTAGCTCAACCGCCCTCTCTTGTCACACTTGCTTTGGGTTGTTTTTGAACAATTGGTTTACATATCATTAATTTATTAACTGTGTGTGTGTGTGTGTGAATTATTTGCTCTCTCGTTTAGAACGAACAATGGCATATCTGTTTTGCAGTGTTCTTTAGTTTCATCTTTTTTAAAGTAAATAAAACCTCGGTTCTCCTTCCATTCCCGATTGCCAGCACGATTGCATGTTCCTCTGCTCCATATCTCCTAAATGAGTTTTAAATCTACTTCAAAGATTTTGACATATTTTCATTAACTACCGTTTTGCTCCATCGATTTCCAGTGTTTCACTTTTGCCCTCTCTCTCTCTCTCTCTTTCTCTCTCACTTGCTCTCCGTCGTGCCTGGGTGACAGACAGATTATTTGGCATCACCCCGCCACCGGTGCAGGATCGGTCGTCGCGACGTTCTTTCTACTGGACGACCGGTTCAGGCGGTGGCGCAGGTGCTCGGCGGGGACCGGCGCCGTTGCCGTTTGGCCGTACTTTACTTGTGATTTACAAAGTCATACTGCGTCGCAGTGTTGCTGAAGCTACCGTTGCGGCTGCCGTGGAAGTGCACATTCTGCCACTTGTTGTCCTTTTTGTGCCATACCCGGGTTTCCTCGGTTTGCACCGTGTGCGGGTGACCCTGCTTGTCGACGTACTGCGTTAGCCGGACGTACGCGATGCAGGCCGTGTCCTCGCCGAAGATGTGCACGTGCGGGTTCAGGATCGTCGTGTTGATCGCCTTGTTGCTCTTTCCGAGCACGTTCTCAAAGTTAAACTTGTGAAAGTCCATACCCTCGATTAGGTTGCCCAGGGCTTCCGGCTCGAACGAGGTTAGATGCGGATCGCAGATTTTGGTGTACGTCTCAAAGTCCCCGTTGTTGATGGCTTCGATCAGCTGCTCGGTGATTTTGATAATCTCCTGCCGGCGGGCCTTGCAGTCGTCGTCCTCGACCGTGGTCGAGGAAGAGTCTGTAGATTCTTTCACCTGCGAACCGTCGCCCTTCTTGGCCATTATGCTCTTGCTGGAAAAGTTCCGGGTCGCAAGCATCGTTGTGAGGATAGCACCTTTGAGCTTGCGCCGAGCGTTGAACTTCTTCAAGCAATCCACGGTCTCCTGTCGGTGCACGACCGATGCGACGCGCTCGCGTTGACAGATCCAGGGGTGTTTGAGGGCTTCGGCTGCCGTAATTCGCTTATACGGGTTAACTGTCAACATTTGGTTTATTAGGTTTTTCGCTTCTGGCGTTACGGTGTCCCACTCGGGTGACGGGTAATCATACGTTCCGGCCTTGATCTGCACGTACAATCGGTGCTGATCTTCGTCCCAGAACGGAGGATAACCAACTAGCAGAATGTACAGGATAACACCGCAAGCCCAAATGTCGACCGCTTTCCCGTACGGCTCCTTCTTCAACACCTCTGGCGAGAGGTAACCGGGCGTTCCGGCAAAACCGAACCATGCCTGCTGATCCCCCTGGACTTCAATCGCTAGACCGAAATCGGCCAACTTCACCGCCGCACCTTTGGCCTTACTAGCTAGCAGTAGATTCTCCGGCTTCAGATCCCGATGCACGACCCCATTCTGATGGCAGTGATTGACCGACTCCAAGATCTGCTGTATACAGTGCGACGCGTCCGCTTCTGAATAGAACTCCCGGGCAACGATATCCTCAAACAGTTCACCACCGGTCACCAAATCGAACACTAGATAATGGTAGTTCTCCTCCTGAATACTGTCGTGCAGCCGGACAATGTTCGGATGTTGCAACTTGCGGCATATCCGGGCCTCTCGTTCCAACTTTTGAAAATCTCGTGACGTTAGCTTCTTTGTGTTGATGATCTTGGCCGCAAACTCGAATCCTGTAGACTTTTGTACGCATCGTTTCACAATCGAGAACGCACCCTTGCCCAGTTCCTCCTTGATCTCGTAGTTGTCCGAAAACCGGGTACAAACTGGCTGGGCAGCCATCTCGTTCACTAGGCTGGAGAGAATGTTGCCTTCCAAACACTAACCAAACCACCTTCCGAAAGCAACCGCGCCGACAAGCAGCTAATCACTAATCACGTTCCACTTGTTGGAATTGGAATTACGAAGCTCGCCAACAGTCACGAACCACTTCGCGCGCGCACGTGCAATTCTTCTTCCCCCTATTTATACAGGTATTCTTCGTTCTTCTTGTGCAGGTGTCGTGGATGTATGTGTGTTCACCAACGACGGGCCTCACTCCGCCGAGATGACGATTTAATCGATGTTGCTGTTGTTGTTGTCGTGGGAAGCGCTGCAAGCCTTGAGGTTGTTACAGCATTTCTCATATTTCCCCACGACCGGCTCTAGAAGGGATGATGATTGTTCTGCTGCTGGCCGGCGGCCGTTTCGTCCTGTGGGAGAAAGTGAAGTAGAAAAAGAAAGAGAAATTAGATATCTTTCCGACCATGCGTTGGAGTTGGTGTTGGTGGTGGTGGGGAGTGATTTCGATTTCGGGTTAATGCTCCGCGGGCTTATATTTTTCGGTATCACACAATATGATTATGGGGATTTACTGTAAATTGAGTTTCGTTGAGCCAATCGCGACGCCGATTGGCTAGCAGTAGGTGGAAAGAGCGGAACGGACGGGGTGGAGGCGGCAGTTGATCCACTCGGGTGCTGCTGCTGAATAGGTCGAGTGGGTGTTTGCCTGAGAAAGCCGAAATGTGGTATCTTTGAATTGGGCACTAGCACAATAGGCAGTGGAGAGAAAGAAAAGGGGGAAGACACACTCAGGCGAAGAAAGATAATCCGCTTTTATTGCTCTTTCCGGTGTTGTATTTTATACGTTCCGGGGATCAATGTTTGGAAAGTGGCAACGACGGCGGCGTCGGTTGGTCTGGATTGATCCTGATTGAAAGATGGTGTATTTATTGAGGCGAACGACGCAACTTCTGAAGGAGTACGGTCGCTTGTTTGGAACTGGTTTTATGGGGTGTTTTCTTAATCTCTGCAGACGTGGCCTTGGAGGTTTTAATTTCCAATCAAACCAGATGTTTGGACAGAATCATAGGAAAACCACACAAACCGGTGTTGACGTTCCATCGATCGATACAAACTCAAAATAGATGTATTTACTAATTTTGTATCGTCGTATTTTATTCAAGATTTAGTTGGTATCTGAAACAAAAACCACACGCAAAACAAATGGTACGAAGATCAAATCTAGCGTTCATAATCATAAAGGGCCTCTTTTGTTAATAACTCGTCTGGATTGACGTTTCTCTGTGCGTTTGATGTTGATTTTGCTAGCTAATACAACCTTCCACTACATTGTATTGTGATAATTGCGGATAATCGGTTCACTGTTCGGTTCGGTACCTGTGGTAATGCGAAGAGAAAATCGATTAAGAGAATCATCGCATCATCGCAGTTAGGCCTTTAGGATTCTGAACGCTAGAAATGCAGGGTGTCCATCCAACCGGGAAATCCGGAGCAAATGCGGGAAAACCCAAATTGCACCGGGAAAGATCCTATATACCCATCCCTAGTACCAATGTTGGTTTTATCATAGTCTTGTAGGCCATAATTTGGTTTTGAAGAATCCTCTAAACCTTTATAAAACTTGCTGTATTACTTGGAATCAATAAATTATATATCGTATAGGGGAAAAGGCTCTAATGTTGCGTATTGGATCTAAACATTGGGCCCATCGATGAAAATCTCCTATTTTTCAATTTGTCTTAAAGCAATGCGTCATCTGGACAATACAAATGAATATCATTGGTTGCTGGTGAAAAATTGGCGAAACATGATTTCCTTTAAAATGTATTTATGGGCCCAATATTAAGGACACTTATACCCCGGACAGACTATGGCTTATATCATGTAATATAGGCTGTCTTGCAATGAGCACTCATACATAGGATTCCCAATGAAAACTAGATGTATGAGTGCTCATTGCAAGACAGTCTATATTACATGATATAAGCCATAGTCTGTACGGGGTATTACGCCGACATTAGGGATATTAACCCTTCATAATAATATTCGGTAAAGTATCAAAAATTAACACAATTAAAAACAAATCTATTGTTTGTTTTCACTCGCAATCTGTCGTGCACAGGGCAACCGCCCATTTCGTCGTTGTTCGTATCATGATAGCTTACAGAGTAATTTTTCTTTTGGTGTCATTGGAAGAACAATGTTTGAAACAGTGCACTGCAGTGTTGAGAAAATATCAAAAAATCGAATCTCACCAAAGAACAAGATCACCCTTGATTTTCGTAGACAAAAATCAAACAACAGCTGTGATATCCCAGCTCGGAATATCAAGCTAACAAATCTCACCAACTGCAAATTTCACCAAACTGTGATGAGATTGAGTTTCATGAGCCGAACGCAACCGAAAATTTCCATAACTAACAACAGTCGCTTCGTGTCTGCCATCGGTGACGAAAAAAAAAAAGATAGCATTGTGATACCTTCTCTTTCTAAGAAAACGAGGTGCAGCGGGATGATGTTTGCGTCGATTTAACTCTCAGCTCGTACTCGTTGTGAATAGTCTCGCAATATCACAGGAGCTTGTAAAATCAATATCAGGCATGATGTTTTGCTCCAATATCACGCGTCATATTGAGAGTGAATGAGAGCGGAAAAATATCAATTTGCTAATGAGTATGCCATGAATGTTTTTTATCTTTGGATTTGTCTTTGCAGACCATGACTGGTCCATCTCGCCAATGCCATCACTGGTTTGCAATATGTTGCTATAGTTTTCCGAGTGTAGTACTTCTAGTTTAAAGCCTGGGCGAGATATATTTTTTATCTACTATTTTAGTGAGACAGTTTAATCAATGGTATGAGCGAGGAAGGGATAGAGTTTCAATCGGCTGAAGATCGTTGTAGATGAGATTTGTCGTTTGAAAAGCTCGTTAATTACTTCGGTAATTGACGTACTTCCGACACAAGAAAACTATTTCACGCACTCTCACCTCTTCCACGGTCCAGGTCAAAATGGACGAGTCGACGTTCCAAAAACCCTCAGATCGTGATCATAGTGCACGAAGAATTACGTCAATTACCGAAATAATTACGAACTTTTCAAAAGACAAATATCTTCAACTATGATATTGAGCCGAATGAAACTCTATCTCTTTCTCGCTCATACCATTTGATTAAACTTTCTCGCTTGAATCTATTTCAGGTTCGATTGATTTTTTTTTACGGAGAGAACGGTTTGGATTCGAACCTAGGACTTTGCAACGAGTCTCACAAACCAGTGAACGTTTCCAGTGGTGGTAAAAATGAGTTTTGGAAGGCAGCTTGTATGCAAGTGTTTCGTTTTTATGGTGATTTACAATACGTTTTATTTGTAATAGTGATTTCAATTTAACTTAAATGAGCGTGTAATTATTCCACAAAATGAATAAATGTAAATGGTAAATAAATAACGTGAACGATAATTAATATTGAAATCTAACAATAGATGGCAATACAAATTATACTGGGCTACTCTTAAATTATAATTACATAAAAGTGACCAGTGATGTTTTTAAACAACCGGGAAAAAAACCGGGAATTGCAAAATTGGATTTGAAAGGACACCCTGGAAATGTAAGTGCGGTTTTCTTACATCCTCTGCATAGTTGAAGATGCTAATTTCAAATAACAGACTAAAGTGGCATACGATAGATGGGGAGATGAAAGAATAGAGTTGATAGTTCCGTTAGAGTACGGCAGTGTGAAAATTGTATTTAGAGAGTAGAAAGCGAGCACAGACAACTTTTTAGGAAGGTACAAATCGGGTTGATCATCTCTCTTTATCAAACTCCCCCGTTGGAGAGGGATGGTGAGGGGTATCAACATGAACTAGTCCAATTTGTGGTAGTGCTTGCTGCGCACTGTCTTCAGCTTCTCGGTGACAGCGATAACTTGGCATCCATGGCATCCTACGATTTCGACGTCTAGTGGAGTTGACGCTCCCACCGGCCCTCATCTGTCATTCGATCGGTTTGAATATCAGCTCTCTGTCAGCAACATTGATAGCATGGCATCCTACGCCCCGACATGTAACTGAAACGACGTTCCAAGCGGCCAGCATCTTCGGTCTGGTTGATCACCAGGTCTCTGTCAGGTAACTAATTGTTTGTACAACAAATGGTCCGCAATGTTAGCTTCGCATCCTTCGTTCCTGACGTTTAGCTGTTCCAACGGTCTGATTGATCACCAACTCTCTGTCAGCATGGTATGGCATGGTAAGCTTGCAATGTCTAGCTGAGTCGACGCTCCCACCGACCCTGCTTCACTACGACGTTTGGCCGATTCATCGCAGTCCACGTTCCGTTCACTAGCAACTGTCCCCTTCATCTGTTGAACTGTGCACCGACAATCGTCCTTAGATACTGCCTTACTGCCTATCTGTATAAATATTAAAAAAGCTTTCATAACCTCATCTCCTTAAAAGAGTGCACTCTTAGATTATTTTACCGAAATCTGTGAAATTTTACCGAAATCTCAACAGCTGAACGTTCGGTGAACAGTTCGGTGATTTTTCACAGATTTCACAGATATTCGGTGAAAAATTACAGGAAATCTGTGAAAAATCACCGAACTGTTTACCGAACGCTCAGCTGTTGAGATTTCGGTAAAATTTCAAAGATTTCGGTGAAATAATCTAAGTGTGTGCAAACTCACTGGAGATGTCTCGTGTCATGTGAAAATATCATATACATTCTTCACCACTTTAAGTCGTTTTAGAAGGTGCTCCTTCATAATGGCCCAGTATTTTTCTATTGGGCTCAGTTCTGGAGTGTTTGCGGGGTTCAGATCTTTCGGCACGAAATCGACATCATTCGCCTTATACCACTCTAGCACGTCCTTCGTGTAGTGACATGATGCCAAATCCGGTCAGAAGATCGTCGGACCGTCGTGAGCGCGCAGGAGAGGGAGAAGCCGCTTTTGGATACACTCTTCCAAATACACCTGTCCATTCATAGTGCTTGCGGTAACGAAAGGTGTACTCTGCTTTCCGCAAGTACAAATCGCTTGGCGAACTTCGACATCTTCTCTGTCCAGAGGTTCTCGGGAAGATCACACTTATCCTTGGCAGTCACATACAGGTTTCCTGGAATCAGGTTGAAGTTCACCTTCACATATGTCTCGTCATCCATTACGCAGCAGTGTGGTTTCGTTAACTTCTGGTCGTACAACTTCCGGCTTTAATTGCAGATATTTTTGGCATTTGACGTATTAAGTAACCGCTTGGACTATGTACATCTTCTGCAACAAGTAATCTTTTACGTTCCTGACAACGACAGCTTCTGTGGATTCCGAACAGTCTTCGGTGAAAATCATCCGTTACAAAGATGCCTCAGAAGATTAAATGAAGTTCAACTATAATGTAACGAGAAAT